ATTACTTCGTAGTCAAATTCTTCTAATTTTAATCTCCAACGTACTAGTTTGGAGTTGGGTTCCTTTAGGGAAAATAGATATTGCAAAGGACGGTGATCTGAGAGTATTTTAAATTTTCTTCCAAATAGGTAGGGTCGGAAATATTTAGTTGCCCACACCATTGCTAACATTTCCTTTTCTATTGTGGAGTATTTGGTTTCGGTTTCATTTAGTGTTCTGGAAGCAAAGGCAATTGGTTTATCACTGCCAACTGGTCCTTGGGAAAGTACTGCACCAATAGCGAAGTTGCTGGCATCTGTTGTGAGGTTAAACGGTTTGGAAAAATCTGGATATTGCAATAACGGTTCATTCATTAATAATTTCCTGCACGTTTCAAAGCATTCTACGAATTCGGGTGTATGTTCGATTTTTGCATCCCTTTTCAAGCATCTTGTTAGAGGTTTTGTGATTTTTGCGAAGTCTTGAATAAACTTTCTGTAGTATCCTAGTAGTCCAAGAAATCCTCTTATTTCTTTTGCTGTTTTTGGTATTGGATATTTTTCTATTGCTTCGATTTTTGCTGGATTCGGTTTTATGCCTTCTTGTGTGACTACTGTGTCCCAGAAAATTAACTTGCTTTTTTAAGAATTCGCATTTGTCGACTTGGATTTTTAGTCGGGCTTCTCTTAATCGTTGAAATACTTTTGTGAGATTTACTATGTGTTCCTGTAGTGATGTTGAATAAACTATTACGTCATCCATATAGACGAGGCATATTTCTCCTTGAAGTCCTTTCAATACGTTGTCCATCATACGTTGGAACGTGGACGGAGCGTTCTTAAGTCCAAATGGCATTCTTAAATATTCGTAGTGTCCATTTTCAACATTAAATGCTGTTTTGGGAATGTCTTCTTCAGCCATCTCGATTTGGTGAAATCCCTCGCTAAGTCGAGGGTCGTAAAATACTGACATCTTCCCAATTTGTCCAAAATATCGCTAATGTGAGGAATTCTGTATCGGTCATCAATTGTCTTCTCGTTGACCTTTCTATAATCTACCACTATCCTCCACTTTATTTTACCGGATGAATCTGGTTTCTTTGCCACGACCCAAATGGGCGAAGACCATGGCGATTGACTTGGTCGAATTATCCCTTGCTCTAACATTGAAGAGATTTGTTTCTTTACTTCTTCTTTGTGTACATACGGATACCGGTACGATTTCGTATATACAGGCTCTTCATCCTTAGTTCTGATGTGATGTTTAACTTCGTTAGTAAAGCTGAGAGGAGTGTCTGGTTGGTGAAATATATCGGAGAATTTTCGGCATAGGTGACGAACTTGTTCCTCTTCTTCTTCATTAAGATGTTCGGTTTTAATTAAGTCGTCGATATCTTGTCTATAGTCTGGTCCGGAGGTTGTTTCCATGGAATATATATGGAAATCTTGAATGTCTATTTTGTTGCTTTCGAGTGGTTCCATAAGAGAAAGATGAATGGGGTCTGACGTGAAGTTGGCAATTTCGGTCCAGGCGAGGTGGTTCTCGGCGTTAGTAAGGGCTTCTCGTACTACGACGCCTTGCACTTTTTGGGTTGGAATAATGATGGTTCCGTGTTCTTCTTTGACAGGAATTTTGACTTGGCTAATAGAATTTGGTTCCAAATGAATGGAATAAAATTGTGTTTTATTTGTTTCGTAATATTTAATTGGGATTGTAGAATCTTTTGTAACTAGAAGCGACTTGGGAAAGTCTAATTGGGCTTCGAAGAGTTTTAGATTGTCGAGGCCAATAAGACCATCAAAAGTTTTATGAAACTTAAAGAGATAAAATTTCATTTTGTTATCAGAATTAAATTCTGAAAATGAAGGAATTTCGGCACAATATTTTTGGGAATAATTTTGGAAAATTGATGTGACGACAAAGGGTTCATGTTTTATGTAACTTGGAAAATATGAAGAAGCTATTTCTGGATTGAGAAATGACTTTGTAGATCCTGTATCGATTAAAAGCCGTAAGGAAGGTTTAGAAATTTCGATGTAGGGTAGCTCCTTCTTGTCGGGAAATGAATGGAGTTCAATTACGTTCCGATTTCTTCTGGTGGGTCCTCTCGAAAATTTACGTTTTCTTCATATTCGGTTGGTTGGTTTTCGTATGTATCTTGTAGAAAATTGTCATATTCAGGTTCGTAGTAATCGTTGTAGTTGGAATTATCTTGTTGCTCATCTCCATGGCATTGTATATTGTAAAGTTCTTCTACGGTGAATTTTGGCTGTGCTCGGTAATTTGGTGTGAAATTTTGACGGCCTCTGGTTGTGGTTTCTGATATTCCACTCATAGGCGTTGGTCTAGGCTGCTTTGACTGTCCATTTTTGGGTGCCCATACATTTGACTGGTTCTGGGTCCTGAACGTCGAATTTTGTCTAAATTGGTTGAAGTTTTGTTGCCGGTGTGGTTGCTGGAACTGATTCTGCGGATAGAATTGTCTTGTTGGTTGCTGCCATTGCGGAGCTGCAAAATTTGGCTGTTGATACAATGGTTTCTGGATAGGTACAGGCATTTGTTGTCTCTGAGGTCGGCGTTCTTGATAATTATCGCTTCTTCCTGATGTTGAAGGTTGAGTTAATTGATTTTTTTGAAGGTAACGAACGTTATTTTCTTCCTGTACATATTGTATTGCCGTGGCTAAACTTCCTGGTCTCATTGCTCTGATAACAGAGCCCATTGGTTCTCGTAGGCCTGCTAAGAATGTTGTTAGAGCTTGTTGACGGAAAAATTCTTGTTTGCTCCTCTTAATATCGGCATTTATGGTATGTAATTCTAGGTAATTATTAATACAGCTTAAAAGTCCCATGATCTTTTCGTAAAAATGCAAAATAGATTCTGTTGAGCCTTGTCTTAAATTTACTAGGTCCCTTGTAAGCGAATTTTCGTCTCTCTGGTCTCCAAAATTTTGAATTAATGCGTTTTTTATTTCGTCCCAATTTTCACATCCATATACAGATATAACTTCTTTTGCTCTACCTGTTAATTTACTCATAATACCATGAAGCAAAAATTTGTTTTGGATGTTCGCTGCATTAAGTCTATCATAATAATGGTTGAAAAGTATTGTAGAAACTTTGATAAATTCATGTAATTCATTTGGATTTCCGTCAAAATTTGGAAGAATGCATAAATTTTTAACGTCAAATTGTGGAACTGCCATATTTAAAAATTTCAATATAATATATAGTCAATAGTCAAATCAGTATAGTAATTTTCAATAGAGAATATATATAAATATATTACTCTTAATCTACTTATTTAGTATCTATTAAATCTCTGTGTTTATTAATATAGTATTTATTAAGCTATTCAAATTTGTCTTGAAATTTTAAAGTTTCTGAATCTGGCTCTAAAGTCAATCTAAGGACTTAGAGGAGATATTTTTAAATTATTATCTTTCTGTTAATATATTCAAATCTTTGTTTAATTTATCTTCTAATCTAACTCTGATTCAATCTAAGGACTCAGAGGAGTCTGATTTTATAAAAATTCTTTCAAAATTTAATCTTCTTAATTCTAATTAATAATAAAAATCGCTTACAGGATAAAGACGATGCCGATGTGCATTTCTTTCCTCCTGAAGGCTTCTAACTTCTAATTAATTCCCTCGGGTGAACTCTACAGACGGTTTCCCTGGGGCTGGTTCTTGGAACAGTGGACAAACACTTAAAAGTGACGAGGATCTATAAAGGCTCTTCCACTTCCGTACTGACTCTGCGCCAATTATGAATGTTCTTGGGAAAAACACTTTTTTAAAAACTGAACTTCACAAATAAAACTTTTATTTTCGACTTACAAAGATTTTAGTAGCAACAACAATAAATTAAATCAGACTAAATTATAAATCAAACTAAACTACAAATCAGACTGAAAATATTGATTTTAACATGGTGTTTTTATAATTTTATAATTGCTGATCTTGCAGTCCAATACGTCGCAATTCAGTCCAGAATGATCGAGCGGTAGTCCCGTGTGGAATCCACGTGGTAGAATTTACTGGATGGTAGCGGTCATTGTACTGTAACTAGCACGTTATTTGAAAAAATAGCTGTAATGTCAGATACCAGAATCTTTAAAACGCGATTTCCCACAAATCTACTTTTTTTTATTGTGCCTCTATATTACTGAGGGTGCGATATATATATATATATATATATATATATATATATATATATATAATATATATATATATATATATTATATATATATATATATATATATATATATATATATATATATATATATATATATATATATATCTTTCCTTTTTTCCAGACTTATCTAGCAACAAATAATGTTCGAATCATTTTATTTTGTCTATTTGAACATTCTGGTATAAAATGGAATCGTTTTTTGTCTATGATGTATTATGTAAATAGTCCTATTGACATTTCTAGAATTCTCTATATACAATTTACTTGACTTTAGGCTCTCCAGATCAGAACTACACTATTATATGTAACTTAAGCATTTATATTAAATATATTTTTACTATTTTACATATGTAATTTTATTTTAAATTAAAATTTAAAATATTAAATAACTTTTTGACTTTGACACTACAGTGTATGTTTGGTTGCATATGCACATGGCTGACTAAACATATCTATTATTAAATAAAATAAAAAAAAAACTTCTTAAACTTAATTCTTATGCTAAATTCTTAAAAATACCCTCATATAATTATTTTTTAATAATATTATCTAGAATATAACTTATAAATTATGTCTTTAATTACTATTTAATTAATTAACATTGTATATCTGGTTGTATATATTTCTATGTTAATTTATTGTATGTCTGTTCTCATTATAATATATATATATATATTAACAAAAGTTTTAAAATTGTCTTATTTAAAATGAATGTTTGTATTTAACTATCTCTTACTCAAACAATCTTGATACAGATTCTTGATATGTAAGATCGTTTCCATTAGGATTAAGATATTATGTATTTATGTTTACTCCACTTACTTTTAAATAGATCTTTGTCGTCGTACATATAATTAACCATCGATTTTGCAACATCCAAAACGAGTTCTGGGAAACATTTTAGGTGATTAGGCAAACAATCTTTAGTTTCTTTAACTGCGGCCCAACTGCACTCAACCATTTTCCTAATAAATTCATTTTTAGGAATTTCAAAAATTTTGGCGTTGGACACACAAGTCTTCATTTTACTATAAGTATCCTAAGGCAAAGTAGTTTAAAATAGGAGAAAGAGTAAGATATATATTAATTAGATACACATGCATTTACCCAAATTTTACATATAGCACGTAAATAATAATATATTTTAATATTGGATTCTGTACAAATAGTAAGGGATAGCTGATTTTTACAGTCAATTAATATTAACATAAAAAGTTAGGCAAAATATACTTTAAATATTCAACTTAGATCTTTTTCTTCTTCTTGTTTAAGTGCCTCTCCTATCGGAGATTGGATATCATTATGGCGATTCTAATTTTATTTACCGCAGTTTTAAATAATTCTTTAGTGGTACAGCTAAACCACTCTCTAAAAATTTCTCATCTAGGACATTCTTCTACGGCCCGGATTTCTGCGTCCTTGGATTTTTTCTTGCATTTTATTTTGTAGGAATGTGTACTTTTGTCCTCTTATTAGGTGGCCTAAGTATTTAAGTTTTCTCCTTTTTATATTCATGATAAAATCTTGATCGTTATTTATTCTGCGTATTACCTCTTCATTTGAAATTTTACTCACCCAACTTATTTTTAGCACACGGCGGTAGCACCACATCTCAAAACTTTAAAGATTTTTAATATTCCTATGTTTAAAAGTCCATGCCTCAACACCGTAAAGCAAAGTACTGAATACATTTTAACATTCTAAACCGAAGATTTAGAACTAGAATATAGATCTTAGTTTTATGTAAAATACGGATTTTTTTTAAATATTGATATGGGTACCCCACGCCAATATTGATCCTATTGATGAAGAACCATTAAACTATTGTAAAAGTTTACTGAGACAAAATCTTGATCTTAGGCTTATTTGTTAGTAGTTCGTAACCCTCCATCAATTGTTAAGTCGATCAAAACCAAAAACCAAATAATTTGTGTAGGTTCCGCCAATTTTATGACTAAGCTTCGTAACAGTATTAAAAATAATTATTAAATTGATATTTTAACTCGGGTAAATTTGAGCTGAGGCCAACTAGGTATGACGCTTTTAGATTCTAGAAAGACGGTTAATGTCAAAAATTCAGCCGAAAGGGACTCGTAGTTTTGTTTCGACCACGTGTAAAAAAAGACGTGTCCGCGGATTTTAGAAGAATGGAAAAAGAGCAATATCGGTCGGGGATTCAATGGTTAGCAATATCTGTTTTGTAATTTCAAGTAATATCGCGCAGACAAATCAAAAAATACTGTATACGGTGATTATTCTCGTACTTTTCAAATTGGATACATAAGTTGGAACATTGCTGGGTCAAGTATAACGAGCTAGAATTAGACTATGTTAAACAATAAATCTTCACTTTTTGAAAATTTTTGTTTTCCTTTTGTCGGCTAAGTACTTATCGAACTTATAGTATATAGCGTATCAAATGAATTAGTTATCAACACAATTTGGACTGAAAACTTAAAATAATAAACTTACAATGTACAATGTCCAATAATGGAGACACATAAGAAGAGTTACAAGGAAGAAGTAATGAAACCTACCTGGTTGGTGATAAAATCCACTGTTAACATTCTTATCGTATCCAGTGTTTGTGTGGGTAATAGAAAAAGAAAATTAGCCATAGAAAGTAAGTTAAGTATTAAACATTAAGAAGTGTTAGCATATAAACACGATTTTGTATTGATTGCTAAAATAAAAAGCAGCTTATAGGAGAAAAACTTAGTTACTTTCTCCATTAATTCCATAGAGACTGCAAAACAGTAAACTTAGAGATAAATTAGGCTTTTGTAGCTCGAGTTGGATAAAGTAATTTGCATTTAATAAAAATAAATGGATGAATGTAAAAAATGTAACGAGCAGATACTTATAAAATATGTAGTTATTATAAAAATTATCACAGACCCAACATAGATACAAAGTTATATAAAGAGAATGCGAAGATAGAACTGTAAAAAAATTTTAATAAATCTAAAAAGGATTAAATGCGAAATTAAAATAACAAAAGGTATAACGATTCTGACGAATTAACGATAAACGATCTCGGTAAACAAAAAACTCAAATTTGATAATATTAACAAGTTATAAGGGGAAAATCACTGTTCCAGTTTTCTGCTAGAGCTAGATACTTTCCAAAGATTCTAACAGTGCAACATCTTTTTCTAATTTTTTGACCTAATTTAAATTGGTTCTGCTACAGCTGTTAAATTGGAAATTGAAATACTTGGGGCACATCATGAGAGGTGAAAAGTACGAACTACTAAGGAATATAATGCAGGATAAAATCAAAGGTAGAAGAAGCGTAGGAAGACGTAAAATCTCGTGGCTACGCAATCTCCGTGAGTGGTTTGGATGCAGTTCAATTGAACTATTCAGGCGAGTAACCAATAAAATTATATTGTTCTAACTCAACAATATTGGCAATATCATTTTAAAGTCGTCTACTTTAAAATGCATAATGTATGTCTGAATTGTCAATATAAATGAGTCAGATAAAATTAAATTAGCAGAAGAATTTTTTCACTATGTAACAAAAAAACAAAATTTGTTTAATTTACTATTTGTATTTTGAGAACGATTTCCGAATTGGAAATTGAAACGTCAATAAATGTATTTTTATCTTTAATGTGGCTTATTCCCAGTTATAAATAGTAATTAATAAAATTATAATTGCCAGAATGATTTCCAATCTCCGATAGGAGTGGAACTTGAAGAAGAAGACAGCTGTTAAATTTTTGTAAAACTCAAATAAATTTTTAAATATATAAACAATGATTTAAATCCTTAATACAACCAAAGCACATATCATTCCATTATCTGCTATGACTATATTAAAAAATCAATTTTCAATATTAAAAGTGTTTTTTTTTTAAATTCCTGAAATTTAAAATTTTACCTGAAAATTGCCGCAACAGGATAGTCCATTGTCCATACAATAACGTATAATATGATTCTCAGTAGTTGCAAAAGCATTCGAGGACTCTAGAAATTGTCTGGTGGTCCTTCTAAGAACTAAGGACATATTTGTTAATAAAATAAATACAGTTGATGAGGTAAATATAATATATATATATATATATATATATATATATATATATATATATATATATATATAAATATATATATATATATATATATATATATATATATATATATATATATATATATATATATATATGTATATATATATATTATGTATGTAAATTTGAGTTGTATATATATGACATGAAACAGACAGCCAGCCTTGAGGTCGAAAATTCTTCGACAGAACAGCAAGGTTAATAGTACCAACCCACTAATTTACGGGCGGTAAATTTGAATAAGTTAACATGAGTTAGAATGATAACCCTCCCGTAAGAGACCAAACAATGAAAGAAATTAGCGATAACGGTAATCCCCTGCATCAACTAGTCTAGAACAAACAAGTAGGCAAAATTCATTCAACTCCATATATAAAAGAGTGATAAACGTCAACAGTGTAGTTGGATATCCAGCTATATACAGCTCTGTTTCATGTCATTGACTCGGTACCTTTTAATTAACGCTATTTCAACCGCAACAGGTGCCAAGCATACAGTGGTAACTTCACTTTATATCTTTTTTTTATATATATTTTTTATATCTTAATGTAGATAACTTAAATAATGCTACCAAAAGTTAAGATGAAATCATAAAATAAAATTTTTTGCATAGTTGGAAGTGAATCAATGAATTTCTTAGTTCTTTTTCACTAGTTAATATTATATTAAATATTATATGCTTATTAGACCACGTGTTCTGTTGCTTTCCTAATTTTTACTAAGTCTCTAAATGTTGTTAGTTATTTAATTGTTTATACAATATCACCATATGATGTCCATTTATTTGAGTTTTTGTACTACCTTTTTAATACCATTGACAACTACATATCTTTTTTAAGGTAACTATTTAACATCTTCTTCATGAATGTGTGGTTACTCATAATGTAAATTTTTTTAGATGAACTGATGATGCTATCAGAATTCGATAGCGAAACGTCTTCAAAATAGTCTTCAAAAACGTCTTCAAAGTAGTATCAACTTTGTCTTTTATTTCTCCACGTAGTTGACCGATAATTGAACCCACCACTCGTCTGAGTGTTCCTTAGTTATATTGGATAGACGGTCGTACTCTTTTTTGCGATATATATATATATATATATATATATATATATATATATATATATATATATGTATATATATATGTATATATATATATATATATATATATATATATATATATATATATATATATATATATATATATATATATATGTATATATTGTTATGATTTTGTATTTTTGATTTTAATTTATTTACTTGAAACAATCACAAAAATCTACTTTCTCGTTATCAATGTCCTAAAAAATAAACTTCTGATATTTCTTATGTTCAGTGAGTTCAAAATTTTCTAGTTGTATTTATCGGGATAGGAAAAACAAAGGATAATAATAAAAAGTATAATACATAAAATACAGATATTTTTTATTTTATAAAAAAAAAACAATTATTAAATTTGCCGTTATCTTTTCAATCAGCGAATATGCATGTAATGAAATTAATACAAAAAGAAAATTTTAATTCTTATTTTCTTCTTGAGACAAAACAATTTGAAACTAATTTAAATTTGGATACCTTTATAAACTTTTATCTTCCTTATATTTAAAAAAACTATTTTATTATGGAAACAAAACTTTAAAACATTTGATAAACGTAAAAAAGGTCTAATCATGCTTTAAACTGGTAACAACAATGAGGTAAACAAATCGCATTTAAGATTTACACACCTTTCAACTTGAAAAAGGAAAATATCTGACCTTTCTTCCCTGGATTGTTTTAGGACCACACAAAGAATTGTCCACCTTCCACAGCAATGTGTTCTTCCACCTTGCGCCTCGGCTTCTTGTTTCAGTATCTGCTCCTTCAGCCAATTTAACTGACTTAATTTAACCTCCTGACTCAATTCTCCAACACTTAACACACGAAAATCACTTCTTCAAACATTCATATAACTTCTTCGTGACCCAAGGATCTCTTTTCTCACCTGGTGCCACAACTATTTAACACGTATTCCAGAAACTGCACACTTTAGATTCAAGGATTTCTTTACATCGACTTGCAATCTACTTCTTCCACAATTCTGCTAACAAGACTGGTAACTTTATCCACTTAACAATGCCGGCCTCCAACTCACGAACACACCGCCTGTCGAGACGCAACCTTTCTTTTCGATCACTCAAACATCACTGTCTTCTCGAACCAACAAAAACTCTATCAACCCTCGGTCTGTCGATTTCCCCTTCCAAAAAGATCGTCTCATCACAAAATCCAAATTTGTTTACCACACTTGTTGGAATGCTAATTACCGTTTTCAAGCAAGGAACTTTAATCTTTTAACAATGGTCATTTCCTTGTAAACAAATAATTTTTATACATTTCAAAGATTTTTGCCTTAGTCATAATAGAAGATTTATACAACACAATACCGGACTAATCCTTCAGGTAACAGCTTATTTTCTATAATGTACAAATGGTTTGTCAATAACTCGTTTAGAATGGCTTAGTTCTTTATAAGTCATAAAATTTCGGTACTAATCTATCTATTTACAAATATACAAACTTTCTATCTTAAAATTAATACATATTTTGTCTTCAGATTTCTTAAAAACTTACTTCCGATGGATTCCTTAATTATTTTTGTTCCTTCCGCGTTTGTGGAAGAAAAAGTATAATAAATCCCCGCCTTTGCATATGATAAAAATTACTGAATTATGTAGGGATTTTTCTCTTATGCAAACATTCTTTGTCTCTTATTCATAATATTTATAAACATCGTTGATATTATATATTCCCCTAATCTTGTCTGAATCCAAATGCTTCAAAACATAACTATTTATACCATTATCATTGTTTATTACGTAAGGACCCTCAAAAACAGGCATTAACTTTGCGCATACATTGCCAGGGATGTTGGACACTCGCAATGCTCTCACCATAACCTTCTCACCTTTTTGGAAAGTAACTGGTCTTCTTTTCCTATTTTGATCTTGTCTCTGGATATATTTTTCGTTTGCTCTCCGCAATCTCCTTTGCACATCTTCCATTATCTGTGTGTATTCCTTTTGTTTTATATCTTCCCATGGCCTTATCGGCATTATCCCTTTCATTATATATTCTGGGGTTTCTTTCGTTACGGTGCTTGGGATGGTATTTAAATACATTTCTACTTCGGACACTTTCCGATCCCATCGTCGATGTTGCCCATATGTTGTAATTCGAAGAAATTTCGTCACTTCCTGTATACATCGTTCCGAAGGATTACTCTGAGGATGTCTGATGCTAACAAAATTTGTCTCTATTCCTCGTTCTCGAAGTTGTCCCTTGAAACGATCATTCCTGAAGTATGTTGCATTGTCTAGAAGAATCCTTCTTGGTGTTCCTACGGTGGCTATAAAATTGTCGATGTTTCTCATTATTTCTTCGCCTTTCGTGGTCCGGCAACTGTATAATTTTACATATTTTGAAAATACATCTATCATGACTAAAACATGTTTATTCCTCTTCGTTGTCATAATTAGATCGCTTAATATATCTATTGCTACAATATCTAATTTGTTCCGGGATATAATATTTTTCGTAACGTTTTCATTCTTGAAATTCCTAATTTTATACTTTTGACAGATCGGGCACTTTTGTGTAATCTCCTTTGTAATGCGGTAATCCTGTCGGCAAATATAATTTTCTCGAAACACCAGCCAAACTTTTCTGCTGCCGATATGTCCATTGTCTTCATGCAATTTCTTTATAATCTTCTCTGCCAATGTTTCAATTATGTCGTTTTCATCTTCCTTTGTTGATATTCTTTCTTCTTCTTCTTCTTCGGGGCTCATCTCTTCTTTTGAGGAATCCCCGGTATTGACTTCCTTTATCCTTTTCTTAAGTCTTTTCCTTTTTCTTCTTTGTCCTTGCTTCGTTGCCAGATTCATTTCCACTGTTTGTTCTTTCTCCGAAATATCAATTTTCTGTTTCCCATGTTCGTTTTCCTGTTCTCCTTCCTTTTCTTCAGTCAGTTTCATCGTGTTATTTTTGAAATCTATTACTACATGTTTTTCTGCCAGTTCGTCCACTCCTACAATCATGTCATGCGACATGTTTGGCATTATTACACATTGTAATGCATACATTTTTTTATCCAGTCGTACCATCACTCGTATGCCTTCATTTATCGTTGCCAAAATCCGTTTATTCGCACCCACCAAATTTACCCTTGGTATTTTGTATATTAAATTTGTCAACTGTACTTCTTCTATTAATTTTCTGTTTATTAAGGTTATTTCTGACCCGGTGTCTATCAAAATCTTTATTGGTCTATTGTTAATGAAACCATCTACAAATTTTAAATTAACTCCTCTTCTTTCCTCATTATTTCCTGCCAATTTAATGAATTCCTTCGGGTAACAAAAAATTCCTGCCTGGTTTTTTGTTCTTAGTGGGTGCTTTCGTGAAAAACCGACTGTTGTTCTTCCGTATTTCTTCTCTCATCTCTATTTCTTTCATCCTCATTTTCTTCTATTTGTGTATGATTTACCTCTCTTCTATTTTCTTTTGGTCTGTCATATCCGTTTCGGTTTCCACGATATTCCTGTTCATTTCGTCTATTGTAATTTCTGTTTTCTGGATATGTGCGGGTGTTATTTCTGTTTTGATTTTCTCGATATCTGTCTTCATTCCATGGCCGATTTCTGAAATCATCATTTCCTCTTCTATTTTCCCGATTCTCGTTTTCCCTCCTGGGAATAAATTCTCGTCTAGTGTAATCCCTCCTAAAATTTTGTCCTCTCTCTCTGTATTCCTGAGTTTCTCGATGTCTATAATTCTCTTGTGACCTTCTTGCTCTTCTTTCCTGTATCCGTGATGCCCTTATTTGTAGGAATTGGCATAAACTATCGATATCTTTGTAGTTTTGTAAATTTATGTGGTCTTCCATTGTGTCTT